TGGACCACCCGTACAAGGGCGTCCGCGAGGCAATGGGTCAGACTCTTGCAACTATTTATCGCACGAGGTACCACGAGTCGTACCCTGATGTTCAACATCTTCTCGAGGCCCAGACATCCTCCTCTTCTGTTGGCGCATACCCCTACCCGCCTACCGAGGACTTTACGAACGTGATTCGCGGGGTTTTCAGTCGAATCGAGGAATGGCGGAAGGCCAGAACGCCTGGCCAACAGACACCCTCATCCTACACCTCGGGTAGCAAAACCGTTCTTCTTTGGCTGGACTCGACCTTGTCTTCTCACGAGTGTACCCAGCTTGTTCCATTCTTCCCCGATGTCTTCACGGCCCAGCTCCTGCACATGATGGACGTGAAGGAAGATCCGGAGCTTCAGTCCCTCGCATACCACGTTTTCCGTCATCTCCCCAACATTCCATACCCAGCCGAGAAAGACTCCGAATTCATCCAATCTCTCATCCGCATCGGACAGACATCCCCATCATGGCATCAGCGCTTGCGTATCATGATCAACATCCAAATCATCTACTTCCGCCGCCTGTTCCTGCTCGACCCCGCCGACCGCGACAAGCTCTTCGAGTGTATTGCCTCCATGCTCGAAGACCCTCAACACGAAGTCCGTGCTGGCGCCTCGGCCACACTATCCGGTATGGTCCGGTGCTCACCCGTCTTCCTGCGGGAAAAGATGGTCAGTCGCTTCCATGAACGCTTCACGAAGGTTCTGGTAGACAACCCTCTCCCCAAGAAACCGAAGAACTTCCGCTCAGGAATTGCCTCCTCCGCTGTGTCATCTGGCGCTGGAACCCCCACTCCTGAGCACAACCGCTTGATTATTGTTCGCCACGGTGCTGTGCTTGGTCTTGGCGCTTTGATTCAGGCCTTCCCCTACAACAGTCCTCCGCCTCATTGGATGCCCGAGGCATTGACTTCGCTCAGTATCCGCGCAGCCAATGATCCTGGCATCGTTGGTTCGAGCGTGAAGTCGATTATCAGTGAATTTAAAAAGACTAGACAAGATACTTGGCACATTGATGCAAAGGTTCGTGCTTATGCGTTCAACCTCGTTCAACCTCGGTCCTATTTTAAAACAAACGGGCTAACCATTATTGTTTTAGGCTTTCACGTCGGATCAGCTCGAAGACTTATCCGGTGTTTTATGGAAGAGTTACTTTGCGTAGATGGAGCTAGGGTGATTGTCATTCTTTGGTTTCATTTGACTGTTGGAGGGTATATCTCATTGGTTTCTCTGATCAAACAACTCCTAATAACCATGTGATTTATGTTGACTCCCCGCATCGTGCGCTCTCTGATAGGGTGGGCTATATTTAGTACGGAAATGAAAGCAATGAAAGACATGTGCTATTTTTGATTTGGTCTTTGTATATTTGAGATTATGGGTAGCTAGGACCAACATATTGTGTTCCAAGGCACTATAATTCCCCTCGTGATGTAAGCCACAGGAAATGAGTGCTACAAGGGAAAGGACAAGCAATGGTCAATACTCTCCTTGTGCTTCATAGATTCAACGAGCAGCCAAATCGGGAAATGAGGGTGACATTTACTCAAATGGAAAAGTTTGGAAGTCCTTCTACCATATTGGTCCTCTGGTCTAATACTATTTACAAAGTACTCGTTATATATCCCGCGGCGTGGTACGGAGTACATTGTATAACAATCACACAGCTTGTGTATTAGCAATAATACTCCAAATAATATCCAACATATAACCATTTTGAACTTGTGCAACTTGAATGTTCTGTGGCATATTACCCAAATGTTAGTCGGAGATGCAGTCAACACCGCGTAGTGATGACATCGTAGGTCTCTAACCGCTCTAGTCTCGTAGATATTACGATCAAACAATCACGTTGCTTCAACTTTATCTCATATATATATGTTTCACCTGTCCATACAATCTGATTGCTCACTTCTCAGACTTCCCTTGCTATCTTACCACACACACCACGCACACCACGCACACCACGCACATATCGTGGCTTCCAAAGCCAAAGGATGCAATTCTCTACCTTGCTCCTAAACTGTCGCTCGTTATGAAACTCCTCACAAGAAACAGGACCCCGTCTCCATTTTACACCAGGTCTGCTGTCTCTCCATGGGATTGCCGGTGGACCTGGTGGACCTGGTTGCGCTGGCTGGGGTACTTTGCCTGTCTGGTCACCGTTATCCAGATTAGTTCATATCTCTTTGGGTACCCTGAGACAAATCTTATGACTGTCTATGATTCTCTACGTGGCCCCGGGATTCTTCGGCCTGGTCAATATCATGCAAATGCTGGTGTGTGGGACAAGGTAACAGACGAAGACTCACCTGAGCCGGATGCGTTGGGTATAGCACATGATCGGAGGTTTGTACCTGCTCCAAATACCTTACGAATGTGCTAGCATAATATTATGCTAAGAATACTTTTTATATTAGAGACAAGCGATTCTATCAGGGCGGTACCTTAACCCTAACTAGTATCGAGTCCGTCAATGCCTCACACCCAGTCCCACTTATCTACGATCCATACCCGGCCTACAACAGCCGAGAATGGAAGAAGCAGTTCCATGGAAAGTTCCAGCCCTGCCTTGGTCCTAGGGGTCGTTATCTCAACCGCAGGTCTGCAGAAGATATGGTACAAGTCTACAAGGGTCAACAAGCCGAGTTCCCAGCACCACGATTCGGTTCACACGAAGCATTGGGTCTAGACGACAACGTCTGCGCGGATCGGTACTCCCGCTTCGGGGCATATGGATACGACGACGACGGTGAGGACGAGGTACCGGGCTTCACGCGTCCTCCCGCAGTGCCGTGGTGCGAGGTTGACTGGGATAGGCTGCAAAATCTGTGCCTGGAAAGAAATGCAGACAGATACGAGTCAATTGAGACTACCAACTCTTCGAATACGAGTCCGTTAGCCTTCGACCTTCCCCAGGATCCCCATAAAATACAGGAGTCACCTGTGGCTGCTTCGGGTGTGAAGCGGTTCCATCCTCGCTCGGCTGTACTGATTCGGGCGTGGAATGGGCTCAATTGGAAGCCTCACCATCGTGAATACATTCGGGCTTTGATTATGGAACTTTCCTTGCATTCTGGTGGGGAGTATCAGATCTATCTCTTGTGTCATGTTAAGGAAAACGAGATGCCCATATTTTCCGATATCAAGACTATCAACCGGCTCAGGAATGCTATCCCCAAGGAATTTCGGAATATGACTCTTTTCTTCAATAACAAGCTCTTAGAAGCTTGGTATCCGAAGATAGAAGAGCACAGGTGAATCAACCCTTTCCCATTAACTGCGTCAAAGACACACCTAACTAACAGCACCGACAGTCCCCAACTCCAACACCACCAACCTCTACAGATTTTCTCCCAGCTGTATCCCCACTACGACTACTATTGGCAACTAGAAATGGACGGTCGACACACAGGCCATATCTACCACTTCCTAGAGCGAGCAGTCTCATTCGCACGTGAACAACCCCGCAAATACCTCTGGGAACGCAACGCCTACTTCTACACCCCCGGTGCCCACGGCAACTGGAGCGAGTTCACACAAATGGTAGACAAAAGCCTATCCGACAGATCGAACCGCACAATCTGGGGCCCCGTATCCGGCACGGGGATCAGATCACTAGGCCCAGACCCTCCAGTACCATTCCCCGACCAAGACAACTACACCTGGGGCGTAGGCGAAGAAGCAGACTTCATAACCTTCCTACCGATCTTCAACCCACACGAGACACAGTGGACATACCCCGACAAGATCTGGAACTTCAGACATGGACCGTGGACGCCGCGCCGCGCGGCAGTCATTACAATGGGTCGGTATTCCAAGCGTCTGCTGGATCTGGTGCACCACGCGCAGGCGACGAAGGGTCTTGGTCTTGCGTCGGAGATGACGGGTGCGTCGTGGGCTCTCTTCCATGGTCTCAAGGCGGTGCATGTTCCGCACCCTATCTATGCGGATGGACTGTGGACGCCGAGGGAACTGGCGCGGATCTACAACCCCGGTCCGCCGGAGAATGTTAATGGGGGTCCCGATAGTATTTGGAATTTTGATCATATGTTTGATCATATCATGTACCGACTGTCGTATATGTTTACGACGCATAGTGGGGAGGATCTGTACAGACGTTGGCTTGGGTACAGGACTGCGGAGCATGAGGGTGGGAAACTGGTGAGTACATGTGTTTTCCTTTTTTTTGGTCTGGGATTATGGGATTATGGGGACAATTGACTGATTTATCTGTTCTAGATCTCCGAGGATCATTATGGTCGCCATTGCTTCCCGTCTATGTTTCTTCATACGATCAAGAACACGGCTCAGGAGATGGGGTCAGAAAGGGCTGTTCCTTGATTCATATCGCTTGTTAAAATTTCAGGTGTCTTTTGCTTGAGGTTATCTGGCGTTTAGGTAGAAGGCACATATGATTTGCTTCAATATCTAGTTTAGAGGAATCTGAAGCCTTTTGATAACTATGGTTTTCATTAGGAAATCGCCCATTGTTCCAGCTCTCAAATTAGGAAGAGATACTAAAGTTGTCTGATTGAGCTCTATTAAACAAATCGTAGAATTACACGAAACCGAACTCTTCCTCGCTGTATACATAAAAGGAAGAGTAGTAAAAAAAGCCATCAAAACAGGCCTGAACATGGCTTGCCCCCATTAGTTAGCTACAACAGTCTACCCTATAAAGATTCACCCACCCCTAAACTAGCGGCCAAGAGATCTGCCAATTCTCTTCCTAATTGAATTTAGCGTATTGTATTGAATATGTAGCCGTCCCAAGCGCCCAACACCAGGTGCCCTGGTGTCGGGCGCTGGTGTTGGGCGCTTGGGACGGCTATATAGTTAATTCATCATCTCTACTCATCTCATCAATCTGTGTCAAGTTTGGTAGCATGTCGGATGGTTGGCGTAACTCAACGCCGTACATCAACTTGTGCGGTGAATGCCCGGTGGAAACCTTTGTTGAAGAGTTCAGTATGGCCTGAAGAAAAGGTAGAGAGCTTCGTCCCATCGTGACGTGGCTGGGACTGGTTGGTCTATGTGGGCATGTTCGGTTTCCGTACGCCGTTGCTGGGCTGTCCAGTGCCTGATCGCTATCTCCAACGTTTGATTTGTGCGTTCTGATTGGCCATCAGCTTGCGGGTGATCGGCTGTAGTGAAGAAGATATCGACTTGGAGCAGCTTGAACACGCCATGCCATAGGCCCTTAGTAAATTTTGGGTCTCGGTCGGAGATGATGGCACCCCAGTCCGCTGTCCACCAGAAAGTCAATACCGACTTCGACCAATCTATTCCCTGCCAAGTTGCTTTTCCCGGAACAAATCCGTTCTGCTTGGTGAACTTATCTGTCATGGCCAGGAGTGTATCAAAGCCTTAGGCCGTTTTGGGCAAACCGGTGATAAAGTCCATCGCGATCGTGTGATAGGGAATTTGGGGGGGGCAGAATTGGTTGGAGCAAGCCATATGGCCTATGACGCGGGACTCTGTGCTCAAGACACGTCGGCCACTTCTGAATATATTGTAAATGAAGCTCTCAGATGGAAGCCTCCCGGGTAATATTGAATTACTCTATAACATGAACTGAGGTCCCATCACGGTTGACAGTGGTTTATGCGTTGAAATTGAAAGGTTGCATATATAGAGTGACTCCTGCGCCCCGCATCACAGTTGGTTTCACTATGGTACAAAGGTAACCTGGACTAGTGAACTTCCCGCTATGTATATTCAAGTAAAGATAAGAGTGAAAAGAAAGACTGTAGAAGTTTTAAAAAAAAAAGTACAGAAAAAGTAAAGAAATACTAAAAAAAAAGAGTTGGGTTTCGGCGCTGACGGGCTCGTCGAGATCTAGATACAATGTGAGCCTTTTCCATTGCCAGGCAATTGTAGATAGAGAAATTCGCCCTGTTCAGACCTTAGTATGTATATTTTATAAATGCAAATAAATGGCTTTTATATCTGCTTCGTGTTAATGCTTCAGTGTACTCCTTACTTACAATTCAGACTTCGCCTCGCTCCATTAGATTCATTAGGTTATACCGGCGATTGGCGCAAACTCGGCAGCCGCAGTGTGCAGAGTGGCCAATAGTTATGGCCCGCAGCGGATCACTGCGCTGGAGGCGATGGCGGAGGCTGTTGGAGGTGGAATCAGAGATGGACTCAAGCACGGCCAAGGAGCTGCTGCGAGAGCGGACGATTGGCACTGGGACGGCATCCGGAGGGTGGAAGGGTGGTCCTGGGGGTATGCGGATGGGTGGTACTGGCGGTATGTCAGCCACGACAACGATGCCGGAACACTCTGGTGTTGGGCTTGGAGGGCTTGGAGGCAAATCTAGATTTCAAGTACTTTACTTACGCAAGGGCTTATGGTAATTCAGGTATTCATATTTTCTGCCGGCAAATATTCAGGCATATTCAGACATCAATATTACTAATATTAGTTTCCGAACCTTCGCATTGGCACGCTATAGCTATGATTTTGAATTATTCCCTCTTCAACTACCATCTCTTTAATTCAGATTCAATTCAGATTCAATTCAGATTCAGTTCAGATTCAGTTCAGATCCAACTTAGATTTGGTTTACTTTAGAAGTCCCTATGCCCAGGCTTTGAAGGACAACTGGTGGCAGGGATATTGGATGAATCCAAGCATTTGCCTGGGCGATGCCCCAATGACATCTTGTCCCATATCACGATGGATGTAATTTCTCCCGTCTTCTCGTCTCGGTGAAAACTAGGGATACCAACAGAGATCGCCATACAAATCCCCTCGCTGTTACTCCGTTTAAGAAATCATGTCAAGTGTATATCAAAGCGAGAGCGTTGGATCAGAGGAAGGTGCTGAGACGTTTCTCGCGCACCTTCCCTCTGGTACACCCGTTTACTATTACAACCAACAGTGCGCTATAGAGAGCCTCTTTCCTCCATATTCGGTCGAAGATACTTTTATCGTCTTGAAACACTTTCCGGCAGAGATACTAGCTGAGCATGAGGAACGATTGCCAGGCCGCTGTGACTACTCGCCATCACTTCAAATTCTGATTATCACAATGCCTAGTCTACCACACGAAGAAGTGGCGTCTAGTTTCGAGGTAATGATTGTGACGCTCGCGAAAGAAATGAGCGTCTATAGACGGATTATGAAATGCGGAGCGACTCGAACATGTAGAAAAACGTGACCTGTATAAGATATGAAGAAATTCTCTGTATTAATGTGTATGGTCTGAGTGTAGACTAGGTGCTCAATAGATGACCCTAAGCATTCTGAGTGAGTACCTAGGTAACCAGTGGGCATCCAATCAGACTCATTAAGCGCTCACTGAGCGTTCATTGGACCTTTCTGATATATAACGTGACTAGTATGAGCCCGAACCGAAATTTACTCAGTGACCCTGACTCTGAGCATCCTCATAAAAGCGGCGGCAGCTAAGATAAGAAATCCCCAACCGGCAGAGGAAATCAAGTACGCATAGCTACCTATGTACGTGAATGGAAGCTGAGAAACCGAGAGCAATTTACCCTTCATATGCTGTGAATTTTGATAATCCCCGTCCCAAAAATGAAAGCAGTCCATCTCATGACATCGTTAAGAACCCCCAGGGAAGTGCCTCATGCACTCTATCTATCCCCTGGCATTATATTTCTCATTGAAAGCATTGACCGCTAGAAAAGGAAGTTGGTTAGCATGTGTCATTATCTAGCGTGATCTGGGCAACCACTTACCAACAGCAATCTGTCTATACAGCCAGTTCCGTGAGCTTTCGTCTTGAACAGGAATGAATGGTCCATTGGCACCACCCTTAAGCGTGATACTCATTCCCGTGCGCTCCTTGGAGATGGTTTGGATATCCGTGAGACGGATATCCCACTCATTAGACAACTTCTTTGTGCGAACCAGCATGATGCGTGCGTACGTCAACAAGACTAGCATGTCTCGACCAGGAAGCTCTAGGTGGGCAATGTAGTCCTCGTTGAAGTATTTACCGTCGTCCGTGGTCTTCAGCCAGAACTGTCCGAGAGCCTCGCGTTGCGAGTACGGACGCACGATGCCATCGGTGCCAATGAAGCGAGTGAGTCGAACACGGTCAAGACCTTCGGCATCAAAAACGGTAGTGGTGTTGCGAACACCTTCTGCCAGATCTAGTAGGAAATCGTTAGTTATGAACCATCAGAGAGAGAACATCGTTCAACTTACTGGAGGCAAGATCGAATGCACCAATTGCTGGCTTGGTAGCCAATCCAAGCACACCCTTTCCAACACCCTTGAAGAATCCTTGGATACCTTCTTTCTCCGCACCTTGCAGTGGATGACGTGCCAAGCCACCGATGCCGCTTGCTAGACTAGTTGCAAATGCATTGCCACCAGCCGTGATTCCATACAGAGCGTGCTTGGGGCGGTTGCGCACCTTGGACATACGGCGCTGGGTTTGGAATTCCTTATCAAGAGTAGCGGCAGCGAGACCCTTGGACATACTTCCCGTGAGCTTGGCCATACTGTCCGAGAATCCGAAGACGGACTTCTTGACAAAGCTTGTGGCACCCTTTGCGATACCAATACCCAGCTCTTGGGGACGATCGGTCATGACCAGACCCTGGTATGGCTCATAGAAGATGGCGGCGACACCAGAGCTGACATTGTTGAACAAACCGACAGGGTTGCCTAGGAAGTCGGCCGAACCGAGAATGATATGGATCTGGCGCAGGAATTCTTGGGTGTAGTGTGCACGGACATTGCCCACCAGGCTAGGGAAAGAGACACGGGCATTCTCGAGCATCAGAGCGTTGAGTCGAACAGGTGCATCGTTGACATTACCCATCGACATTGTCATGACGTTGACAAAGAACATCAACGGGTTAGAGGGCTGCATTTCATCTTCCACATTGACGCGCTCAGTGCGCATGAAAGAAATATCCATCTGCATGGGCTGGAGATGAAGGAGCTCGAAGTAAACATCTTGACCATTGCCTGCCTGTTGCGGCTCGGGAATGTTGAGGTCCTCATCACACAACTTGCCTTCTTGTTCCTCGGCCCAGGAAGCCCCCGGAATCTTGACAAAGTCAAGCATGGCAAAGACGAAGTCCTCATCCAGCTCGAGTGTCATTTGCTGCAATAGCAAGGTCGCGTACTTGATATAGAGAACACCGTACGAGTCGTCCTTGACCCGTGTGACCATTGCATGGAAGATCGGGTGTGCTTCCATCTCCTTGCCAGTCTTGGGAACAACACTGGGGTAAAGCAAGATGGGGAAAATTCCACCGTAGAGTTGGTTATCGATCTGGATCCACTTGATTGTAGTGTTCAGAGTCTGGTACAATCTTGACTCCCTGAACTTGATCTCAATCTCGCGGAATGTGAGATACAGCAGCTCTTTCAGGTTCTGGTTGATCAATGAGATTCCAATGCCACCTAGGCGAAGTTGGGCTTTGAAGTTGACGTCCGAGTTCATTTCCTTCACCTCGAACCCAGTGTTCATGCCGGTTTGGGAGGATTGCCCTCTTTGTTGCTTGTACATACTCTTCGACGCTTTGAAATTGGACAACACGAGAGTCTGAGTAGGACCATCAGCAGCAATGTTGATGTCAATGATCTTCTGGTATCCGCCAGCCTGCGAAGGGGGAATCCGCATTGGAATGAGGTTTCCTATCTCAGCAAGCTTGATGTGGCGCTCTTTGCCCTGGCAGGTCAACACAAGTGACTTGTTCTTAGTCGCCGGGTAGTCCCATGCATATGGCATTATACTCCGAGCGGGAATTCGATACCGGATCGGCCTCCAGCCGCTGGTTTGGTCGTCTTCGTCATCATCTTCCACATTTGGATTGGCTTGGTAGAAAATGAAATCCATATCGCTTTCGTTACGCATAGAGAACGGCCAATTGCGAGACTCGACGCTGAAGTGCAAGAAAAGAGTTGCTCCTTCCAAGATGATATCAACCTTGATCAGCTTCTGCCGCTGATTCGCCTTGGCCAATTTGATATGCACAGTTCCAACATCTGCGATGCTGAACGGAGAAGACCATTGGTTGTTAACGCCCGGGAAGCAGAGACACAGCTGTTTCTCTTGAACTTGACGAAGGAAATGAAGCGGTACCAACTGCCCGTTCTGAAGCTGGAGTACATTGGACGATCCTGGCTCGCGCACGAGAAGATCTTCGTTGAGCTTGCTCTTCAGGATGAAACGTGGAGCAAGTGTTACCACCTTGGTCAGCTTGTACTTACCCTCACCTTCGGCAACAGAGACTCCGGAGTGGAACTCAGATCTGCCTTGGCGATCGGGGAAGATGACCTCAAAGGTACTACCAATAGCCTCGAAACTCTGCGGTTTGCTCCATGCAGAATCGCTCACCTTCAGGATAGAGCGGTTTCGTTGATCCTCGTTGGCATAAGAGTACATGTATGGGAGCGCACAGCCCTCGTCTCTTGGATCAGCTCTGAGTCCTTGGCCAGCAGCATTTCTCGCAGACTGAAGGAATGCTTTGCTTTGGATGTCCATCGGAAGGCCAGTCTTGTTCAAGACAAGGTACGGGCTGTACACAGAAACCTTGAACGCACCACCACTGTTGGGGATGTTGAAGTAATGAAGCTGTAACTTCAGTTGAAGACCTCGTTCATCCTTAAGCGACAAGGTATGCTCTCTGCGGTAGTCTTGAGCATTGCCGTTGACGATAGCAAACTCGCTTTGGCGGAAGACCGTGTCTTGTAGATCAATGCTGAGCAACAGCAGGTGGGACAACTCCACAACGTGGACCGGGCTGACGCCGCCCTTCCTCAGGAAGTTCGTCCAATCCTTCTTGGTGTTCTTGTCGTAGATGCGGTACTTGAAATCGTAGGGCAACAAGTTTTGAATCTCCACAGGAGCAAAGATTCGGACCCTCATGTAGGGATACACGCCCGTAAGCGAATCTTTGCTATCAAACGTTGCGTTGACCTGGAAATAGAAAGGAGGGGACTGCTGTCCGCTTTCGCTAACGCACTTGACAGTGCGTGTGGGTCGCTTGATGAGGTCCTTCCAGAACAGTCGCTCATCTGACCAGTCATATCCGAAGCCCTGATCGGGACGAACAACGATAGAATGGAGATATGCTGATCCAACGGGTGCTGGTCGTGCATCGCCAGGCAAAATCTTCTCGATCTTCAACAAGTGGCCTTCTCCGGGACTGAAAACGCCCAACTCCACGGGAATTTGGGTGTTGTTCTCGATAAGAAGTGGCGAACGGAATGTGATGTACTTGACATTATCTGGTCCAAGTTTGACTTCTACGAGTAGCCGGTGAAGAACATTTTCTTGCTTCGGCTTCAGGGCGTAGATAGTCTCGCCCTCGCGAACGACAGGAATGCGGCTGATACTATCAAAGCCACTGCCTTCCAATTTGACACCAACCACTCCACCGTGGCCCTCTGGTGTCAGCGTTTCACGGACAGCGGTCGAATCTTCAAATCGCCATGGCGATTCTTCGCCATCAGTAAGCTTCGCCGCTGGACCTTCTCCTCCAGCGCTGACATCGGCCCAAACTCTGAGGTCAAACCCGGTGTAGTTGCGGATTCTGTATGGGGCATCAGCACCTCTTGGCTTTGAAAGGACATCCTGAGATGTAGAGAGGAACTGGAAGGATTTTGATGCGAGTGCAATCGTGGCGGATGTGACTGTAAGCTCCATTGTCTTGTGCGAATACACATCGAAAGAGAAAACATCCGGGTTGGTCTCCTTGGCCATGTGGAATCCCAGCTGCCAG